GCAACTTCCGAGAGCAAAGGTTGCACCATACCTGTGGTGTGAGAAACCTTTCTATCCTACACGAAAGGAAAGGTTTGTCCAGAATGCTGCTGATCGAAGGCCTCTCTCTGGGATTGCGTTTGAAAAGCTGTGCTAAGAGGGAGCGCAGCTCTTGGGAGTAGTGAACCGATACAGGAGGGTAAGAGCCTCGAATTATCTTCAGGACCAAGTTCTTCATGTTACCAGCTTCAAACTACGGGAAGAGCAATTATGATTACCATAGCAACAACCAGGTATTAGGGATAAGTGTAGCATTAGCATTATAACTAGGCTCCCCAGGGTAAAACATAACCACAGCAATTCTGGACATGATGCATTAGATGGATCTTAATATGTTAACAGCTAGCTCACATATAATACTTACTGCATGCTTAAGAGTGCACATTTCATAGAGTACACACCCTAGGGCCCAAATATCACTGCGGAGGGAAGGAAAGGAGGGAAATATGAGACCACAACAAGAATACAGAATGACAGGGAGAGGTTTTAGACTGACACTGCATTCATTTTGTAGGGTAACCATTTCACACAGGAGTCACCATGCTTTTGACAGTATAACAAATTTAACCTCTAATCAAACTTAAAGAGCTAAAAAAAAACTCTGAGCTTTAAACAAAGTGGATCGGATGACATGGAACCTAAAATTGATCAGGAAATCAATATCAGCTTCCACCGTGAATGTAAACAAGCCAATGAGAGGCTAACGACCCGTTATCCTCCTAGCTTGATCAAACTACGGGATAATGTTGGAGGACTCGGATGGGAAGATCAGGATTGTTCATCAGATCTTTTCATGACAAGTAGGACAAACTACTAACTCTTAATTTTAGCAAAGATCAAGTACCTTTTATTGTTGTACGGTTTGTTTTCACAGATCTCTGGTGATAAGTAATATGGTGTCCCTATACATGTCCTCGCCAGGTCAACAGTGCTGCAATAGACAAAACGAAAATTTAAAAGAAAAAAAAGAGGCAAACAAGGTCGATGTATCTTTTCTTACAATTCAAACATTTCTTTCTCTACAGAAAGTTGCTGGAAAGAAACTGCTGAACATACCTGTTCAGAACCCTCGCAATCCCAAAGTCTCCAAGTTGAACTGTCCCTTCTTTGGTCAAAAATATATTCTGGAAAAGAGTTTTAATAAAAAAAAATGAAATAAGCAATTCTACATACTGGATTTATTAAGAAGAGACCGAGCTAGGCAAAAGGAAAATACCTGAGATTTAATGTCCCTGTGGAGAATTTTCCGATCATGTACGTGCTTCAGTGCCAGGCAGATCTGCACAAACCAATCTAGGATCTGAGAGAGACAAAAGACGAATAAAAGATGACCAAACAAAAAAGATCAATAAAAACAATCTGCATATATGGGTGACAGGAAGTGGTCCATTTTTTTTATATCAAAACCAAATTAGATATACTATTACATCGAGGAAAAATGACATTCAAAACTGACATTTACTGCTAAGCCTATAGTGAGGCTAATTGTAATAAGTCGTTTGAAATGCTTACATACGCTCTTTAAAAAAATCTAAACTGAGTACTGAGAATTTTGCCTTTGTTTTGAAATATAATGAAATTCATATTTATGTATTTGGTTCTAATCAAAGTTATTAAAGATCTGGACCAGAGGAGCTTCTTAAGGGGCCTGTATGGTTAAGGAATGATAGATTTAATGATGCAGTGTAAATTGGAGCTTCTTCACCTCATCACACATATAGGACAAAAAAAAGTTAGCGGTCTATGAACTGCTTTTTTTTTTCCTTTTTTAAATTAGATTAAGAATCATTTGTGTAAATATTACTCTTATAACATGAATAATTTTATGGCATTTGTAAATTTAAGGCATGCTGAGAGAAACACTGTAGGTTTGGGCTCTTGTGGAGAAATTATTTCCTGGTATTTATTGTTCTAGAAAAAGGAATGATAATCTGACAAAAACCTGGTATCTGTAGGTCATGACTTTTTTTTTAATAGTGTATCAAGGTAAAAACAAAAAAGGAAACTAATAAAAGTTCCAACCTCTCAACAAGGTGCTTCTTAATTTTTAAGTGAAGGCGTCTTACTTGTTCCTCTGAAAACAGTGCTCCTTTCTGAGAGTTGATCTTTCTAAAAAGGTCCCCTCCCTCACAGTAGTCCATGACTATGTACAGACACCCTCCTTCTAAAAAGTTATAAAACAAATGACAATATTGTGATCAGAATGAATCAAGGATTATTCAGATAAACTGCTGGGTGTGAAAAATACCTTCAAAAGACTCCTTATACTGCACGATATTAGGATGACTCATGTTGGCAAGAACAGCAACCTCTCTCCGAGATTCCTGCCTCTCTTTACTGGACATCTGCTCAAAGAAATTAAAAGATTTAAAAAAATTATTATTATAAATATGAAAAAGAGGCAATATTGGCTCAGATCTGCACAAAATAAAACATGCATAATAATTTTAAGACCATACCCCAGATATTCCAATCTCCTTGATGACAAACTGTCGTCCATCCTCTCTAGATTTCACCAGGATGGCCTTTCCAAATGAACCTTCCCCGATTTGTTCCACCTTTTCGTACTTTTCCATGCTACTGCAGAAACAGGTCCCGCATAGTGAATCTAAAAAAAACAGATACATTTGAGCATTGGAAGACTGTTTGTTTGTTATGAAAGCTTCGATAGCGGCTCCCATACAAACAACCATTAATTCACACACTGGAAACACGAATCTTCCTGTTATGATGCCTCGATGTTGAGTCAACATGTCAGACATTCATGTCAGTCAGACAACATTTGAGGGTTGAGATGCTAAGAAAGACATCAAACCGCTAGATGGCTAACTAATGTTCTCATGGTTGTGCAGCTAGACGAGGATGTGACAACAAAATCCAGTTCGACAGAATAATTGTCATTTAAAAGCTCGAAACTATGAGCAATAAAACCAAAAGACTCGCTTAGCAACAGTTTGTAGATGCTAGCAGAAGGCTAATTTTTGGATTACCATTTATTTCTCCGCTTCGGTGCTTCTTGCAGAAAATTCTGCTACCTGGCAGGGTCCTATCGCTCACTCTAACGTCAGTTGATTTTTCTGCGTTTTTATTGGTTAACTCTTCTTTTGTCGACGAATGATTGGTTAATGTAACTGCCATTCACGTGTTATGCCCCAGCCCCTCTCCAAGCTGTTCTGTTGCTGTGGACATTTCCCCTAGCAACCGACATAGATTCTTCTTCTCTTCCTATAAGGTTTTATGGCGCTTGGCAAACTAGTTAAAAATGCATTACCGCCACCATCTGATAAGGAGTTAATAAGGAAACAGGAAACAAGACTCACCCCCAGAAAATTACATAAATAAAAATGTTTTAAATCTTTTTCCGAACTGTTTAACTTAACACGACATAATGATTATTTAATCAAATTCATCCTCCTAATTTCTAATTTATATTTAAGTTATCGTCACTCTGCCAGTTTCTTATGGTCCTTCTCTTTTTCCCATCATACTTTCAACTATTTCTCAGTTTAAATTTCTAACTTCAAGATACTTTTCTGCAGCTTTCACTATTATTCTGATTCTTTTCGGTTTTCTTTATTGTCTGAGCACTACAATTGATCCCTTCTGCCATGAAAAGTACAAAGGTTCCTTTTTTACAATCAATAAAGCTTCTGCCGTCTTATACAAACTGTTCTGCAGCAACCTCTTACACCCTAAGGGGGTATAAATAAATTTCTGCCTAATAAAAACACACAAAAGTAAATCACTTATAGCCTCACAGCTATTAGATTTAAGAAGAAACTTTTGGTACGTCTGTAAAGGTAAGATGTCATAGAATGGTTTTCTGGTGTCAGCACCATTGTAGCTTTGACCCTGCCTGAAATATTAGGGAAAAAATACAAAATATTTTGCATTTTTTGAACCTCGCCAAAATTTTCTTTGAAATAAACATTGCAAAACACTACCAAAATATTATTTATAGCACAAAAAAGTAGTACAGACTTTTAAATCTAAATGTTGTGTAAAAATATACCAAATTTGGACTCAATCAGATGAATCATATTTATTTTAGAATGGTATTAGTGAGAAATTTCTTAGGCGGAGAGGCCATTTTGGCACATTTATCCATAAATGTCACCAAACTGTGCCAAATATGTTTTTTACATCAATACTGGGGGTTTGGTAAAATTACGAGGTCACGTAGCAGCTGGACCCGCCGGTGGGTCCGTAGGGTTCAAGGGGTTAACCTCGGATGTGATAATAATAACAAACAGCATCAACAGCTTAAGTAGTTGTTTTTGACAATTTTTACATTTTTAAGCACTTTAGCATTAATGTCTATTAATATATATATATATATATATATATATATATATATAGCTAGATAGATAAATAGATTTGATATACTGTATATATATATGTATATTATGCAAAAAAGACTTTTACATATATATATATATATATATATATATATATATATATATATATATATATATACATATATATGCCATATGTACATATATACGGTATCTCCCTCTCTCTATATATGTATGTATATATAGATACATATATTTATAGACAGATATTTCTATCTATATATATATGTGTGTGTTGACGTACTGTATATACTGTATATAAAGTATTGCGCCTTCGTTTTGACTATTTGAGCCGATGTAACGAGTAGATTTCTCCAGATCAAAATGAGATCTGATGAGATCTGACGAAAAAACAACAACAAAAAAACATGAATGTTGGAACTGTAACTAATATACATAATTTCTTGTATACATTCTGTGTATACAAAAAGATAATAAAGTCTGTCTAAGTCTAAAGCTATCAATAAAGTAAAAAATAGTCCGGTCATACATTTAATTTATTTCATGCATTTAATCTATTTCGTAGTTTTATGAGATCTACAATCATATAAACCATTAAACGGCTTGTTTACCGTAAAACCCGCTCTTTCGCCGTGTCACGTGCTTGGCTCGCGCACACTCCGTCACACCTCCTCGTTTGATTATCACAGCAGATGACGCAGTGAGGACCAGTCATTGAATATGGCCCCTTTTCCTGACGAAGTGGATGTTTTTACTGGCCCACACTGGCGAATGAAGCAGTTGGTGGGTCTGTACTGCGACAAGGTGGGTATAAAGAAAAGGACTTCCAATATGTTTAGTTGTTTTGAACAAAAAGCAGCGCCCTGTGGTTCACAGGGGTGTGGACGGCCAGCTAGCACGCTAGCTAACAGGCGTTAGCCTGTTTGTTTGTCAGTGAGTCCGACTATCTGAGGTTTTTAGTTTGTGTATCTTTGGCCTTATTTAGTTGATGGGCTGTAAATTCTATGCTACGTTTCTTATCATCAATGTTTAAACTTTCTACATAACTGGAGCGCAGCTTACTTTGCTAGCCTGATGTGCAGTATGTTTTGTTATGCAACGTGTTCTAAATGTGACATCCAAATCTAAGTGTTTCATAAGACAGGGCTGAATATAATAATGGGATTTGAAAGCAGGCTTCCTGTGTCTGATAAGCTCATTTATGATGGCAGGTAATGCACTGCTAACCTAAGCGACCGTGGTTGCAAAACAGCTGTCATGTTATGCATGCTTCCAACTTATGTAAAGCATCTGTTATTATGATGTTTGAAGTCATCTGTGGGTTCGCGATTAATGCAGTTCCGCTAGAATAAAGTTTGCATTTAATAATTCCCGACCTTTTTTTCTGTTGTTGTTTTGTTTTCTCCACAGCTGTCCAAAACCAACTTTTCCAACAACAATGACTTCCGATCCTTTCTTCAGTCCCTATGCGTCACCTTCAAGGAATTCAAGATGCATGAGCAAATTGAAAACGAATATATCATCGGTCTGTTGCAGCAGCGGTGCTGCACTGTCTACAATGTTCACTCTGACAACAAGCTGTCAGAGATGCTGTCCCTCTTTGAAAAGGGACTGCAGAGTGTTAAGGTGAATATAAGACAAGTAGGCCTTTAAAGTCGCAGGGAAGTCGTATTTAAATGTCAGATCATTCTGGCTTAAACACGTATATTAATGTACTCTCTATCAGAATATATTGTCCCAAAATTTAGCAGGCCAATTAGTTATGCATCAGCTTGTACACCTAAATTCGGCCAATCATATATCAACGGTCATCTGTCAATCACATTTTTATAGCATCTTGATTCATATGTTGCAGCTAATATACACAACTATTGAAATAAGAATCATTTACTTTACCATTGAGTTACCTCCCAGTGTTCATGGAGATGGAAGTCTGTGTCTTCAGCAGGCGTAGAGCTAACAGAACTGGCAGCGTTGCGAGGCAAGGGCTCAAACATGTACGGCTCAAAGCCTTCTACACCAAACCAAGCTTCTGCTGCCTTGGCGTCCTCTTCCACAACATCTTCATCCCCGCTTTCCTCTAAATAAAAAATGTATGACGGAGGAGAGTCATCCAGGACCCCTGACACAAAACTCTCCTCCTCTTGCATGTTTATACTGTCCATAGCGTTCCTTGACAGTGTCGTTTTTCAGTCACCAATTCAGTGCCACTTGGTCCCAATGTAATTTCCCATTGGGAACCTACTAGCACTAAGTTGCTAACTGGTTAGCAAGATGCTTTTGAGACAGCAGCCACAATCAAAATTGCTTGCAAACCTTCCACCACAAAAATCCCGCCCCCTTGATAAACGATCAATCACATTCACTTTATTTACTCGTGGAAAGTCGGGCACCACTCGGGAGAATTCAGAAATGCAGCGGTTGGAACAGCCGTTTCCCTACGACTTATAGGTCCCACTGTGGGGAAATTCAGTGGCAAAGAAGCAGTAGGTTGAAGATGCAAGATTCTATTAAAAAGACCAACATTAAAAAGTTACACTGCACAGTAGAAAACAAAAAAAAGCAAAACTGAGAATATGTGATTTAGAATTACCTGGACTATTTTAATGTCATGTCCAGTTTGTAAGTGGCACTTGTACTCTAATGATGGCTTGGCAGAAATGAGCACTGCTCAGCTAATGGTGGGTTACTACTGTGTTATTAAATTTACTATGATATTTACCACACAACCTCTGCCATGCAAAAACAACAGCATCAGACCTGTTTTTTGTTGTTTTGCAACAACAAAAAACATGCCGTTTGTGAAACAATTTTGAGTTAACGTGTGTTTTTGCATATGATATAATCAATTGTTCCAATTATTTCGTAGCCATCCTTTAAAACAAAACTTTAGCTTGGGGTTTTAAGAGATTTTTTTCTTTATTTTGTCTCTCAGGATTTTATGAAAATAGAGCAGTGAGGAAAAAGCAACAGCTAAATGTTCTGGATAAATGTTTTGTAAATCGGAGCTTCCGCTTTGCTGGTTGCTTTAAACAAAAACCTCATTTTGGTTTGGATTGAGATCCTGCTTCCTTTCCAAAATAAGATTTGTTCCGTAGAGATAAACAGTTCTACTCTGATATATTTATAAATACTTGAAATATGTTTGATTTTTGCTCTGTTTAAAGAAAAGATATGGAACACTGGGTCATGGGAGGCTAATTAAAATATCTAATAATCTAGCTTCAGAAACCCAACAGCAACAAACATTTCACTGTTTCTTTAAGCCAGAACTTCCTTAAATTCAACACTGTACATTACTGCCTTTTGCCAACATTCTAAAATTGTCATTTTTTAACAGAATAAAAATGACAATGAATTGCGGAGAAAGGTTTTTGTTTAAGATTAACAACCCCCCAGATTAACTATTCATTTCTGATTCTAGAGTGAATATGAGCAGCTTAACTATGCACAGCAGCTGAAGGAGAAACTGGAAGCTTTTACACAAGATTTCCTGCCCCACATGAAGGAGGAAGAAGAGGTAGAGGACGCTCAGATTTTTGTTTATTTTACAGATGTTTTATTGATCTGTGTCTGTAATGATTGTCAAAGTTTATTGTTGACATTGTAAAATGTAGCTCAATGCATTTCTCTACTGCAAGCTGCTTTTTAACTAGTCAGATGTGTTCCAGGTGTTTCAACCAATGCTTATGCAATACTTCACATATGAGGAGCTGAAGGACATTAAGAAACAGGTGATAGCACAGCACTGCAACCAGCAGCAGCTGGACTGCGCCGCTGAGGTGCTGAAAGGCTTCAGTCTGTGGACACAGGCTGAAGAGCTTCAAAAGGCTTTTAAATATGCTGATCATGAGAAGACAGACTATGGTAAATAGGGTTTTTTCTTTATTTTTTTATTTTTAAAGAATGTAATGCATCTTTATATGCATTAGCTAATAAAGGCTCGATTTTGTCTTTTCTCAGATCTGGAACAGAGTAAAAGTTCTTCAACCCACATCTCCCAGCTTCCTGCAGAAGTGATGCTGAGGCTTTTCCATTACTTGGGTCCTGCTGATTTGTGTCGCTGTAGTCAAGTGTGCAGCGCATGGTCAGAGTTGGCCAAGGCTGGCTCATTGTGGAAGCATCTGTATCCTGTGCACTGGGCCAGAGGTATACTTTAGCTCTAACTTGTTTCACATAAAAAAAAGAAATCACTTTTAGGATCTGGTGATTTTATAGATTCATTTATTCTGCTGTTTCTATGAAAATGTTCTTTTATTTTAAAATATTTTCTTACTTATGCACTCTTTGAGCTTCCATAGGTCAGAAGGACATCGGCCCTGATTAACTAGCTCATTGGCTAAAACCACCAGCTGCAAACATTTTGAATGTCAAACTTTAATTGCTCCCAACTGCAGGAACTAAAACTGCTTTTTTTTACCGGCATTTTTACAGCTTGGATGTAGTTACACTTTTAATGCAAGTCAGCTCTCAGAAGTGATTATTGATTTCTATTATTTAATTTATTTTTATGATACAAAATTGGAAAAAATAGTAAATTTTATTTAAGCCATATCACTCAGCCTTACTTCCTTTAGTAAGTTTATGGTTATTTAAGTCATTATCATGCAAGCATTGAGTTATTTGTTGTTAAACCATTGATTTTTTTTTTTTTTTTGTAGTGATAGTCATTTGTTTTAAGATGTCCGCCTCTCTTACCAAAGCTTTGAACATGTGAGCAAAGCTTCTGCCCCTGAAGGCACAAATTCCTCCCAGCTTATTCCCTGATCATTTGCCTGGAGCATTCCATCTTTCAGAAACACGTCCTCTGATTGATTTATCACATTTAGTTTTGGTTTGGCTGAGAAATGGCAGTCAGAGGTACAGTTACTGGGCTTGTAGCTTGAAGTCGTCTGCGCTGGCATCAAAAGAATGAATGATGTTTCCTTTTACTTCAGTGATATCAGTAAACCGTGTCACACCAAGTTAGTGTCTACCTGATAGGTTGTGTCAGGTGTCCAATCCTCACCGTAACATGACCTGCTGGCTCTTAATGGCTCCATTACAGACATGTTCCATTTTATCAAATTCTTGCTCTTAAGAAGAGTAACTATTATTATCTTTATAGGCTGTTGTATCTGTAAAGGCTGGCTTATATCTTTACATTCTTTTATCTTGACCTTGAACCTTAAGCTGTGAAAATAATTCATGTTATCATTGGAATGTTATCGGCTTCAGCTTATTTGACTCCTGAGAGAGATACAAAAAATAGAAGTTATTTCTTAAACATTTACAGTATAGGTAAGAAAAACAATCCATATAGACATATATATGTCTCTTATATTTAACAACCTCATATTTTAGGTTTTAACAAGTCTTTACCAACGATTAAGATTACTCCTAATAAAACAACAAATACAAAACTGTAACAAGGTCGGTGAAGTTTCCTTAGTAATGAAGACATAAGCGTGACACTCTTTTCCCCTCTGTAATCCAAAAAAACAAAACAGGATCCTCTCTGTTAGGTTCTACCATTTACTTCAAAAATAAAAAATACTTTACAAGTATTAAATTTCAATAAAAAATGAAATGATAAAAGAAGATGAGGAGAAAAATAAATGAGGTAAAAAAAACTGTGGCTCCACTCCAGTTACCTGACCAACACTGAAGCAGAAGCCACTCTCCTCAACATGCCAGAAACCATCCAGAAATCATGCTCTTTGCAAAGAACCTCAGTACAATTAGAAAAATTAAATATCCTTACATATAAGAACCTTTTGTTCTCTAAAATTTACTTTAACTTATTAATGATTAGTTTTTATCTTATCTCGGGTTTTCCACAGGTCATTAAAAATCATTTAAAGTCATTAAACTAAATATTTTTATAAGTTAAGGCCTTTATTGGCATTAAAATTAATTAAATGTTATTATCGTGGCATTTAAAATGCTTTATTTAAAAAAAACTTTTATAAAAACAATTTCGTCAGATATATTTGATCAGATATAACTGGTTCCGCTTGGACTGAATTTAGGCTCCTACAGTCGAGGTGCCAGAAACGATTAGAGACGATTTTTGTTTTCTTTGAGGGAAAAAGAAAAATTGGGGAAACATATTCTTTGCATTTAGAAACGTGATAGTAAGTTTTTAAAAAAAATATTTGATCTCAAAGTTTAAAAGGGTTAAAGACGAGCGGGTGGGATTCCTTAATGAAAAATAGAGAGAGGATTATTTTATATCTAAAAATCTCAAAAAAACTGTGGGACCTGAAGAAAAAACAATGCCGTTTGTGTTTATTTTTGTTTTATTTCTTTAGGGGATTATTACAGCGGTCCTCCTGGGGATCTGGATCAGGAGCCAGATGATGATTGGGTGCAGAGCCGTCAGAACGAGGGCCGCGCCTATCAGGAGTGGGATGAGGATGCTGATGTGGATGAGTCAGGTGTGCTTTTTTCTTTAACGTTTTCATCACTGATGGAGAAATAAATAAATGTAACAAACGTATCTCCAGCATATAACACATATTTAATGTGGAAGCTGCTTGATAGGTGGGAAATGTCAGTTCTAGTTTCTACTAGTTCTCTCTAGATCCCAGGCAGAAGTTGGACAGACGTGTAGAGTCGGCATGTTTCAGTAGATTCCATTAATGTAACAGTAGAGGAGAGTTATTCTGTTTCTATTGTGCCTCATCAGATGTTTCAGGTCACACTAAAAGCTCCATCGCAATCAGCACAGCTCAGCGGGAGAAAAGGCTCCTAAACGGGATCATCCACCACCTTCTGCCAGCTGTCGGTCCTTCTGTCAAGTCTATTATTCTTGCTTATAGTTCTACAGTTTCAAGCAAAATGGTATGTGGAACTGCACCTTTTGTTTTACATCTTTAGCTTGTTTAGAACTACAGATCTGCTGAAAGTTTTTCTTTTTTATCGCCAGGTCCGCCAGATTCTCAGTCTCTGCCCCAATATTACACATCTGGACCTGACCCAGACTGATGTCACTGATCTTGCTTTTGACAGGTAAAACTTCAAACTTGGTGTTCATTTAAAACAACCTTTAATAAACTGTATGACGGCCGCTCAGTAAGGCCGGTGTTGAAATGATCACATGCCTGGTTATTAGAGAAAGCTAATTACTCTTCCCTGTCTCTCCTCTTCCAGCTGGTCTCATCTTGGAGCTTGCCTCTCTCTGGAACATCTGGATTTATCAGGTTGTGAGAAGATAACCGATCACACCCTGAAGAAGCTCTCCGTAGGTCTGGGCGACCTCACTTCCTCCATCAGCTCTGACAAACACTCAGACCGTCGGGCCAAGTTGCTTAAAAGCTGCCCGGTCCCCATTAAACTGATGGATGAGAGAAACCTGCACACGGTTGGGAGAAGGCAGCAGGCCTTTATTTTTAAACACGGGACTGGTCGTTGGGGCTCTGCCTGCATCCCAGCGCCGGTGTGGTTTCTGGACACTTCTGACCTTGCTGATATTGAAGACGCTGCAGAGTGGAGTCATCGCGGTGGGATGCCTTTCTCTGAGAGCCTGGCAGAGACGCAGCTGGTTGCGGGTTCCTGCTGCTGCAGGAGGAGGAGGCGGAAGCACAGGACTGGCTCCACCGCCTCATATTTGCATCCACAGTTTGCCATATCTGGGGACATGTTTTGTGGCCACTCCACCTGCTGCTCTAGTGACAAGGCCCTGAGGACTTTTACTGGGCCCCAAAGGGATTCAGGCACTGCAGAACTGAGGACTAAATGCTCCCCATCAGGGGTACTGGAGTGTCTGGAGTCTGAGAACAGGACTGACTGCTCAAAGGCCAAACGGTCACTGAGGTTTCTCAGCCTCTCTGGATGTTACCAAATCACTGATCTGGGTCTAAGGTAACGATCCTGCTTTGTTTTAAACTAACAATGACACGTTTTACTGGAGAGGAAATGATTTCTTGCTTAAATTCTCTTTTTATACAAGTGTACTGAACAGACTTTAATATTTAAATACAACAGTAGTTTGAGTTCTCAGAGGTTTTGGGAAGTAAAATTTTTTTAAAAATAACCAGATGAGTATATAAATGGGAACATTTAATGAAGTTATAGTTTGATCGCTGGCATTCCCCTTACAAATGGAGCCCTGCCTTCACCCCCCTCCCTCAGTGAGGTCTAGAAGCACAAGATCTATATCCAGCTATTTAGCAAAGATGCTGCTACATGGCTGTACATCTTATTTTAGGATTTGACCAATTAGATGAGCCCTTGAATGATATTACTTACTGTACATTAAGTTTAAAAAAAGGTATAAAGCTAATTAAAAAATAAAAAAATAAAGTTGAAAAGTTAATAAGCCTAGTTAACAATTATATTTAGGTTTGTAAACTAAAAATATAAGTGCCAGTATAAGCATTAATAATTGAGGAAAAAAAAATTTCTTTCACTTTTTTATTTTTCTTAATATATTTGGGGCAAGTTGGCTTTTCTTATCATTACATTTTATTTACATAACAAAATATTCATATTTTTAGAATGTTACAGAGGTAATAAGGTCTTGTCCTGGATTCCAATAACACTATTGGCTTGAAATTTTGATGTTCAAAGTATTTCAACGAGTGTCTTATAAAGGGTTAAAAAGAAGAGGGGGATTTTTCCAACTTTTCATTTTTCGTCAATTATAAACCTCCACTAATGCACTAATTGATTTCCATGATATTGATTGGAATGTTTTGTTATTTTACCCTATTTTTGGTAAATACTTTGGTATTTTAGACCCAGTTTTTAAAAAAACAGGTCGTTTAACCTTACAGAATAACTTCTGTTTATTTGATTTTTGTTTTTACACCCAAAAACACAGTTGCAAAGTTGACAAACTATTTAAATACTCTATTCTAGGGCTGAAACAATTAATTGGATTAATCGATCACTGAAATAATTGTCAATTATTTAAGTAATAGATTAATCGTTAACTGGAGTACAACGTTTCTTTAGCTGACAGAGCGACCCTCTTAGAGCAGAAGTTAAACCAAAATTAAGACAATATATAAACATTTTTTCATTTAAGGCAAAAAAAAATGTTTTCGTCTGCCAATATGCCCATCTAAAACCCCCTTAGGTGGAAAAGTTTTAGTTTCTTATTGTTTAATTTAGTAAAGGTTTTAAGGAACCTCTTGCTATTCGATTATCTCAAAAATGCCAGATTTGCAGAATAATTGTTAGTTGCAGCCCTAATCTATTCTCTTTTAGACCACTCCTAGCTGATCTATGTTGCTCCAGATGCTACTAAAGCAGTGACCCAGTTCCCAAAATCTGAACCTAATCTCATTATTTGTTGAACCTACAGCAGATGAGGACAGATTACTTTCAAAGCAGGTTTATAGCTGTTATCTTACACACCAAGGTCTGTATTCTATTGAAATAAAACCAGATAAAAGCAAAAAAAAAAAAACAAAAAAAACTGCAAAACAAACTGAAAATTAATACATAGAAACCTTGAATCAACTTTTTTGTAATCTACCTCAATCTAAGGTGTGGTAAAGAAGGTTCCATTAGTGGACATGGATTAGCTTTTATTCTACAACTGCATCAGTGCAGCTTCCATTAGGCTAAATCTGGATTAACTATATCTATACATGTCCTACAGGTCTGCATAGTTCTTTACCTTTAATGCTACTGAAGCTTGACTCCCTCCCTTATATTTCAGGGCTTTATCTCAGCATGGGGGGCTTCCTGTCCTGGAGCATCTCAATCTGTCTGGCTGCCTCTTCATCACTGAGGTGGGGCTGCAGGAGCTGGTGTCCGCCTCTCCTTCCCTCAATGATGAACACTTCTATTACTGCGACAACATTAACGGTAACACAAGTGAAGCTGCCAGAGGTCCTTTAATTTTTGCCTGCAACAAAATCCGTCTTGTTTATACCATCTAACATGTGCCTTGATGAAGACCTTTGCCATTGTTAGTGCCATATTCTCTGACCACTGTAAATGATTTGTCAGTAGATTTTATTACAGTATGCAGCAGTCTTTACAGTCAGGTAAGTATGAATTACAGCAGTGTCAGCCTGGGCCTTTTTATGAGCTTCATACCTGCAGATATTATTGAACTAAAGGTCACTACATTTCCTGGAACCGTAATCCATACCTCTTTGCTTTTTTCCCTCAAGCTACTGCTATGTAGAGCATAAATCTGAAGTAGAAACTACCTCTGTAGTCCACAGCTCGTCTATGAAGGCCTTTTGTTTGTTGGAAGACATCAGTGCAAGATTATTACGTTTAATTAAAACCAGACAAGTTAAGCTCATTGCATAATCTGCTAGAGCCAGAGTTCTTGTTTTGTGGTGAAAAGCATTTTGTTTTGCTTCCGAGTATTCATACTTTGCAAGAAGTTTAGCTGCCAAATTCATACAAACTGCAGCGTATGTCAGACCCACAAAGAAAACACAACAACACAATGGCAGAGGAGGGATTTTTCTGATTGATAAGGAGGAGAGCACAATCTTTATATCCAGATGTATCATAGAAATGTTCATGTTTCCTGACAGCCGATCCTTAAACTTTCCATCCAGTTGTAGGTACCAGATCTGCTCTGAGCCCTCCCCCTTCTTATTATGTCATCATACTACAACACCATTCGGCCAAACTTTATTGCACCCGTTTCTTAAGAATCAGATCCCTTCTGAAGTTTCAATAGATTATTACCTATATTTGCTATCACTTTAAATTTCATTGGCGAACTAAAGTAACCGGAGGTAGAAAACAATAATTCCCAGTCTTGAAGGAAAGTACTACCTTCTAAGTAGGACTCTACCATTTAACAATGTGACACAAAGCATCACAGTGCTTATTCTTATTCTTTTAATTAGAATCAGTGAAGGAAAATTAGAACATAAAAAAAAAAAGACTTTCGTATAGATTTTAGACAAAGAAAACAAAAAATATTCTACTTGTAGAAAAGAAACACTGAGCCTGGTTCTGCTGGGGGTTTCTTCCTGTTAAAAGGGAGCTTTTTCTCTCCACTGTCGCTACAAGCATGTTTAGTGTGAGGGATTGCCTTTTTTAGTCAATGAGTCGATGCAATCAACTGGTTTCCTTAGAAAACTTTAAATCAATCTTACTGGATGATCTGGTGAACTGTAAAGCGCCTTGAGATGACATGTGTTGTGAATTGGTGCTATAGAAATTTACTGAATTGAATTGAAACGGTTGTTATTGACACAATTTTAAAAGTAGCTTAATGTGGCTAACTGACTGAGCTTAAAGAGGCTAACCTGTTAGCTACTTAGCACAGCTAGACAGCTCTCCCCCTTTATATCATGGTCTTGCAGTTAACTATTTTTTAAGCCTAATCAATCAGGTAAAACTTGATCAGTCATTAGACAGGCTAGCATTACAGATGCTCCTGATCCTGCACACGGATGGACGCTGCATTATTATCGTTGTCTGGGCAACCAAAAATTTTCTGTCTTGTGGCAATGTTCACCCAATCATATAGCGCCCACGTCACTGGCATGCGCAGGGCCCGAGCTGATCTGGTACCCACACCTTAACGGATCACTGTATGGATTTCCAGACCTAGAATAAAAGGCCGGGGGCTATACGATGTCACTTTGTTCTTGCAGCTGTGTGAGCAAGAGAAAAAAATCTTCTGGCTGAGTATGTAAAAGGCTTTAGGGATACAAGTTATATGGTGTAAATCAAACACTGAGTCAACATGAACAGATTATCAGGTGAGGGATTAATGAAGTTACACTTTATTACCAAAAGTAGTGAATGACATCATGGTAAAAGGCATGTTTATAGCACTATAAATTATAAGGACCCAGAAGTGTTTCACATTCCATTCATTCACCCCGAAATCCCACATCCTCCATCACCGCTCCGTCACCGCTCTGCCCTGCAACCCCTCCAGACCGCCTGCGCAAAGCAGAGTCTACAGCCTCCGCTGTTCCTCCCACCTTGCCCCGTGCCGAGTTCTTCGGAATTTGAGGAGAGCATGCGCGATATAATTGCTAGAATTCATAGGAGCAAAACATGGGGAAATTAACGCTTAATTTAATATGACAAATATGAAAAAAAATCTACATCAGCATGAAGCTGAATGTAATTTCCTATTGGGAACCTACTAGCACTAACATGCTTCCGACAAACCAGCTACAACCAAATATGCTTGCGAACCTTCCGCCACAACAATCCTGCCCCCTTGATAAACTACCAATCACATCCACTTTATTCACTCGTGTCAAGTCGGGCACCACTCGGGAGAATTCTGAAATGCAACGGTTGGAACAGCCGCTTCCCTACGACTTTAAAGAAATAAATAAAAAGGAGCTAGAGGCCTATAAGAAGTCAAGAAATATAGCGATCAAGTCGCTAAGTTGACAACAGTGTACAGGACAAACCCCTACCTCCTGAGCCGCTGTCTTAAAAATCAGTAAGGTCAGATAATCCATTTGCTTTTGCATTTAGCTTTGCTGTGGAGAAACTTGACTGGCCTACAGAGTCCTAAAGTCAGCCATGTAGATAAAACACCTTTGGGCTGAACTAGAGCAGATGCAGCAATTTCTAACAAGGACATACCCCTAAACTTTATTTCTAGAGTCCTTATGTAATGGTTAAAGTTGCTACTGTGGGCACAGTAGTTCATTAGCAAATTGTTCTTGTACATGTAAACATAGACCAATGCTTTTGGTAATATAAGTACTTTCTGTGTTTGATTGTCCCCAAAGTTTAGAAAATTTGGTAAGAAACTGACGTTCAAAGATGTTCCAGACATCCTGATTTTCTTTGCAAAGAAAGATAAAAAAACTTAACGTCTCTAGAGGCATCAAGCTGGGTAACCATGGGAACGGGTTGCAAACAGAATCTCCTGATTCCCCCTGCATTATTGCATTACAGTCAGACCTTGACCACAAAGACGAAGATCTCTGGTTTGTGGTTTATAATGCAATAAATTGTAAGACCTTTATAAAGTGTGTGAATGCATCTTTGGAGCACAGTATTTGCTTTTCAGTTTATTAGCAGCTAACCAGCATGTGACTTTTTCTCCAGGTCCTCATGCCGACACGGCCAGCGGTTGCCAGAACCTGCAGTGCGGTTTCCGAGCCTGCTGTCGCTCTGGAGAGTGACTCAGCCCCTCCGACGTTCTCCTCTCCCTATCGTTGCACTTTATCCTGGCAAAACCATTTACTGTGTTTTGTCATTTGTTTCTTTATGAATATGTAATTAGCTCCTGCTATTTCCTTACTACTACTACTACAGTGGAGATAATAGTTTAGAAAGAAGAAAACTGGGTGCAAAAGTACATTTAGATTCCTTTTGGTTTAGGAAAAACAGGGGCACAAGGTTCTAAAAGATTTCAGTTTTGTCTCAAGCTATGGAAATTTGTATGTAAATTCAGCTGCTTTTGTAGATAAAAGCAGACAGTTCCTCAATGTTGGTGTATTCAACTATCCTAAATGTGCAGATCTCTGTTTATGCAGGAGCATGCGGGTTATTCACAGAATCGGCACCTCGTGAATCAACTTCTAAAATATGAAGAGAAAGTTCTGGTTTGGGATCCAGGCAGAAAAGACATAGGAAATAGCAGATGATGTTGCATTAGTGGTTGGGCTCTTCAGTGTTCTGGACATTCAGCTGTCCTGTAAAGGCTATTTTTTTCTTTCTTTATGCACTCCAGTGGGTAAAAAGAACAAATGTTAATATGAAAGGAATCCTCAGCACCATGTCGGAGGGTCTGCGGTCTTTACAGCTTTATGATCCTGCAGCAAGATTTATCTTCTGGTTCTACAATCTTGCATGAGATCTGTTGAAATTGTTGACTAATAATAAAACTTTGGAGTTGGTCACTGCACTCTGTCTACTGTGTTCTGAAAAAATTTTCAATTGTTTCCCACTGTGGGCTGTCCTCAGTGGTCATTAAGGAGTCATTTGGTGTCAGTTGTTTAGAAACTAGCATAGAGCTAAGTACAGGATCATCTCTGAACAGAGGCTGCAAAGACTGGTGTTCTTACAGGAAGATGATGGGATGGGCTGGATTAAAACATCTTTATTTGGGTGTTGGAATGGCTCAGGTTAAATATAAATCCAAGAAAGAACCATTAAACAGATTGTTGAAGCGTTTCGATACATGACTGAACTGTATTGATGCAGCCTTGATACTGTCTCACAGAATACTGACACCTGCTGGATCTTTAAAGACATTACAGGCAGCTTATTTGACAGAGTAAACTGAATTGATTTGATGACCTAGTAAAATCATATAATTTAAATTATTGTAGGCTAAATTGTATTATTTCATATCTATGCTTAAAATGAAATAAAATCTTTGATATTTTTATATGCAGCCAATAAATGTAAACTTATATCATGACGTCAAAATTTAGGCGATGCTTGTGGACCAAGATTTTAAGTTATAATTTTAAAACAATAAGTACAGTAAAACGGTAAATAAACTAAGAGTAAATTTCAAATGACCTTTAATTCACATAATTTGGGTGATAACTGTAAGGAAAAAAATGACACAACGAAATTCAATTAAAAAACGCCATGGCTGAAACTTCCCTATTTAGGGCTGCTCCAAAATTCTTGATAATTTTAATGATAAACCGCAAAAGATTAGATATTTTTTTAGCACATGCATCACGTTGACAGATATGTTTTGGAACAGTTTAGTGAATCAGTCAGAAACAACTCCTGTATCGGTCACATGACTTTCTTGAACCGACAAGCACACCGATACAATGTTTTGCTCTTCGGTTGTTGCATTGGTATTGTTGAACCCATCGCTACTCAACTGTTTAGCAAAGCAGAAGCAAAAAGCCTCCAAATACATAAACCTGGTAGCTATACTACAATCAACCTAAAGCTTTAACCTCAGTAATATCTGGTTCCACACACAACCGACCAAAGGGGAAAAATATAAATGTATACTATAGTTTTGAAACATGCATTTGGAAACCATAAACCATGCTTCTGTAATTTCAAAAATATTTTTACTCTGTCTTATTCCATTATATATAAACTAAGTACATTAAGGTTTTGGTTTAATGCAGTGAGTACAAGTTCAGGGCAAATTAATGCTGTAAGGCACTTAGAACTGATGCTGGAGTGATGACAGGTTGAAAATATTTATCAAAACATTAACATATATACACATTAGTACCTATATAAACAAGATAAAAAGTTATAATAAAAAGCAACAGCTAGTGAAATGTTGAAGAGGTTCGGTCTTTGATCACGTGCGGATGAGTGAGGCCAGATAAACCCACACTGACAGCACGTTGTTAGGATAAGGATGCACGTACACCGCCATGGCAAACTCCACATTGGATGAGTGAATATTGTGAACCCCGGTGCTGTGAACTGCCTCTACGATCGGTTGGATCTCAGAAAATGGCAGATGGAGCGGGAATCCGGCAATCTGTGAAGACGAGGATACACCAGGTCATTCTGAAAGAACTTCATCCAAACAAAAGTCACACTTTATGCTGGTTTCTGCACATCACTGTGACCAAATGCAAGGCCAGAAATGTTAGTCGTTACATATAATCTTTGTTTTGGACGAGTGGCCGGGTTTCTTATTTACCCTGTAGTCTCCGAGGAGGCTCTGCAGCTCAAGGCGGTGGCCCTCAGCCACATCCTGACCGCGGCTCTGCTCCAGTTTGGGCAGAAACTGCTTCAGGGTTGAGTTACAGTACCGGTTCCAGCGAGTTGGGTGAAGTGGGCGCCACTCCATAATCTTCTCCTTCAGTATCTTCTCCACTCTATCCAGAATTAGATGCAAATTGAGGCTTTTTTCCCCCGCTTTATTAATAAAATAATAGCTGCTATCGTTCCTGTCGCTCACCTGTCCTGAAGCTCAGCTGCAGCTGCTACGTCCGTCTGGCGGTACACCAACTCCTCTGGCTACAGGAGGGAAATAATTAGTGGAAATTGATAATTGAAATGTTTAAATGTAAGTTATATATTTACCTGTACACTAGACAGCCCGGGGTGGGAGAAGGAGCGGGAGAAAAATGGTTTCCACATATTGGCCTTAGTGATGTCAAAGTTTGTGTTTAAGGGTGAGGGATTTTCCTGAATGTTCAACCAAACCTAAACAATAAAAAAAAATAATTTTTCTATCATTATAGAGGAAGCCATGGAAGAGGATTAGGGCCACTGGAAAAAAAAAAAAAGTTACCTGATTTTTTTTATTTTATTTCAGTATAGTATGGGAAAAAAGTCAGAATTCTGACTTTTTTCTCAGAATTCTGACTTTAATCTCAGAATTCTGTCTGAAATCTGACAATAAAAAAAGTCAGAATTCTGAGAAAAAAAGTCAGAATTCTGAGAAAAAAGTCAGAATTCTGACTTTTTTCTCAGAATTCTGACTTTAATCTCAGAATTCTGACTTTTTTCTCAGAATTCTGACTTTTTTTCTCAGAATTCTGACTTTTTTTATTGTCAGATTTCAGACAGAATTCTGAGATTAAAGTCAGAATTCTGAGAAAAAAGTCAAAATTCTGACTTTAATCTCAGAATTCTGACTTTTTTCCCATGTTAAACTGAAATAAAATTTAAAAATCAGTTTACTTTTTTTTTTTTTCAGTGGCCCTAATCCTCTTCCGTAGGAAGCTGACAGTGATATCAATGAGGAAAGTTTCTGGTTATCTAGCGTTTTTTTTTCCACTCACATTGTCAGAATTAACCAAGCAGCCCACAGTCTGCAGGGGGCAGAAGGCGTCGTCCTTTTCATAGAACTGTCCGCTGCTGGGGTTCCAGATGAAGTAGCCGCTCGGCTCATGAGTTAGCACATAGGCTGTGGGTCCCTGTGGAAAATCCACATTAAACAGTTAGGCCTGTGCTTTCTGAATTTGCTGTGCCTTCCAAAGGAGGTCATACCGCATTAATATCTTTCCTTTTTTACTTCCTTTAAGCCACGAACCTCAGTGTGTTTGATTGTGATTTTTGTGACAAACCAATTTGAAAGGAGTGGTGAAAAGGAAAAAAGGAAGTGGGTTAATCCTTTGTAGAAACACATTTCCCTGCAATTACAGCTGCAGCTTATAGAAATAATTCAGTTTTGATCTAATCCTGACAAGTCACCTTTATCCACGTAGGCAGACAGAACTGCTTATAGCTTTCCCTCAGCAGTGAGGGACTTCATGTCACTCAGAGAATAAGGCTGGAATTAACAATTTCACAATTAATGCACAATTAAACAGCTGACAGGTTCTTCCATCTGAGCTATGGACCGCTGCATCTCCTCCAGAGTTCATATTAGCCTCTAAGCTCATTCCTTACTAGGTCTTTAGTCTCTTTTTCCATTTTCAGATAATGGCTTGAACAGAGTTTCTTTAAGATGTTGAAAGCTCAATTAATTATTTTATAACATTAGTCTGCTTTAAACTTTCCCCACATCACTGATGATGATGATGATGATGATGATGATGATGCTGCTGCCTGTTCTCTGATGTTCTTTATCAAACCATGGGGGGTTAAAAGAACAGCTGGATCTATGCCGAGAATAAATAAACTCTTTACACTGGATTTTATCCCAGGATATCAGAGCTAAAAGAGGCAGAAACAAATGGAGGCTGTACTTTTCTGATTTGTATTAGTAGAATGTTTAAAAGTCCAGTATCCTGTCATCCCTCTTTCTAATGTTTCACTAACTTGTGTTGGTCTGTCATATAAACTCCTGAAGAAATACATTGAAGCTTGTGGCAACGTGATAAAAGTTCAAAAGCCTGAAGTGCTGGGTAAGTTTGTAATGGCGATAGGTTCAGGTTTAACATGCCCAGGTCAGTTACCTCTGGTATGGCTGTGCCAATTATAAGCCAGGCCTTCTTTCCCAAAAAGAGAAAGTAGTTGCACAACAGTACAGCATGTTCCTCCTCATCTCCTGCCAGTAGAGTCAGGAATTGCTGAAACAAAATGAAAACATGTAAGATTGGTAATTCCCCGTCCTGGAACTATTCCCAAATCTTAACTCACGTCGCATGTGCTCCATAAGTCAAAGGCTCCAGAGAAGGAAACCTGGTCCGGCAAAGATGGGATCAGGGAGACAAATCGGGCCACCAGGGTCTGCAAGATGAACGAAAACGATAAACTAAAAGTCGATATCAATTTGTGCTCAGTAAGATTACACTGACCGTTGCCTCCTGAGGGTTGTTAGGAAAGGCATCGAGGAACTGCTGTGGGGGGTTGAGTGGTCGGATGTAACGCGTGATGAAGACCGTCTTCCCACTGAGGTCTATGACTGTGGTGACGCAGCGTCGGTCCGGGAAGCCTTGAGCTGCGTCCTTCTCAAACTTCCCTGAAGCCTGCAGTAAACGCTCATCCTCCTGACTGTCCAACTGCATCGAAGCACCAAACGTTACTTCAGTTAACCACAGCTCAGGGACGTGTTCTGATATAAACATTTTTATCTAAAGCACAGGTTGGTGTGAAAGATTCAGAATAGGGTGAAAAACAACGGAAGGTTACCTCTACTTCCTTTATCTAGTGCATGAGGCAGAAAAAAAGCAGGTAAAAAAAAACAGACGATACAAGGAACAAATTATTAAAGAAATACCATCTACTGCTAAACAAATAAACAGACTAAAACAAAAGGTAAAAAAAAACGTGAACTTGCTAAGGAATCTCTTAACTCTGATAGAACAGGAAGGAAGAAAAACAACATTTGAAGGTACAGCAATTGATAAAGTATTCGCTCCCCTTAACCTTTTCAAACTGTTACATTAGAATCACACATTTAACTGTATTCCACTCTAACCGACATATAAAGTGGAAGGAAAGGCCACCTTTACTCTGATATCTCCTGAATAAAGTACAGCTGACTGCGTCCTGAAGTGTCAAAGATAAACA